CTTGTCCTGGATGATAAGCGATCTGTTCCCAATTCGACACTTCTGTTCAGTCGCACGTGGATAAGGGACGCCCGAATAACTACACCGATTACGGGCTTGTTCCCTGAATCGGCCGATGTCGATTCATCAACCCATGGTCGCTGCGATGAGACGAAACGACCACATACGACAGGTTGCTGGCTGCACTCGGCATGCACCACCATACTAGTAAAAGTCAGGAGTTTTTTTTCGGAAGGAGAAAGGTGAGTCGCCATTCTACCCAAGTTCCTAGCAGACCAGGTCTCACGTTCTAACAGGTGAAACCGGTGGCTTAGACGGGTCGGGAGCTTAATCGCAATCGAAGCGACCGATTCGACGAACGGGTGAACCAAAAAATACTGATGTACCTCTCTCAAAAAGCCTCTTTTCGATTGATAGACTGAATGTATGCTTCTCTACGCCCCAATGTTGGACGCCACGTTTAAATATTATCCAGCCGGTCGAGTCGATTAGCCGGCAATTGCAGCTTGACTGACTCGGTTTGTGATGATGGTTTGGCCAGTTGATGCACGGAACCTTTCAGGCGGGTTTTTCCAGAGTTTCGTAGCCAATCCACAACCGACTCGTGATGTGGTTGGTGGCCAATTTGCCTTGCGCTGACTCCGCAACCGCTTCGTATTCCCTGTCGCCTCAGCGCCCATGAGTAATCAAGAATTGCAAGTGGACATAGAGATGAGTCCTCAACCAAGTCAGTCTTCACTTCTTGATATTTTAAGTCTCAGAGCCCAGGTGTTTCGACCTCCGGGTGGCAACGGCTCACCGGAAGGAACCACGATTGGACGGGGATGTCATTTAATCAGACGTCAGAAAAAACTGATCGCCACGATCTAGGGGACGTTCACTCTCATGGGGAGTACGAATAACGGGAGAGGTGAAAAGCTAGTAGAGGATACTACACTAGGTACGTTGCTTCTCCCTAATTCGTCTTCTAAGCTAAATGGTATGCAGTCTGCAAAGAGTTTCAGATGTTATGAAAACGCAGACAGACCGCGAAAAGTTCAGCCACACAAGGCTATTCGTTGCCTTCGAAATTCTCTGTGTGGATCTAAATGGGGTCGGTAGAGTTATTAAATAAATGGGTAAATGAACAACCCATCAAATATTTTCATACAGGAAACTACTCACAAGGCAACTCAATTTTCACAAGAGATTCAACCGAATCTCTCGCTTATGATATTCCTTTATGAAAATATACTGCAATATCTCGAATATCGTGCCATGCCAAACATGAAGCGGCCTGTGAGCAGCACTTTAGTTGTAGAGTATCATAAACGAGAGATTCAGTTAAGTCTCTCGTGAGGACCAAATTGATTTGCAAATGAGTGTATTTCTCGGAACCCATCAAATTATTAAATAAGTAGTAATAAATAGTAGTAAGTAAATAAGTAGAATAAACCATCCTTCTATTCACAGCCAATCATATTGCTGTTGTCACACAAACGCAACTTTCCTGATCAAATAATCAATTACCAAGGACTCGTAGTTGCAACCGAGCCTCTGTTGATCAAA